GTTAATTAAACAAGCCTGTATACAGTCTCCTTGCACCTTGAGATTGAAAGGTGTTAAGTTAGTCTGCATTCGCGTCGCCACTTTAGCCACAAAGTACAAAATTGAGGCCATGCCAATCTCCTCACTTCTTTATTGTGTAAATTCCTTTAATTATCTTGCGTCCCTGCAGACATGGCCACTTCCACCCCATAGTGCATTGCAAAATAACTTGGCTTTTCCTGCTTTGGCTGGCTACAGCCATGGCCAAAACTTAACTCCACAATAGTCACTCCCCTCACCTTTGTTTTCTTTGTTGTTACTGCCCACAATGTGAAAGTTTCCCTATAAGGATCATGTCCACCCATTGTCTCTCTGAAGATGCTTGGTTAATGCTCCCATGTGTCTTCCCATGATCATGCTTTATTAAACCAAATACTTTGCTGTCAAGGAGTGTCCTCAATGCATTATTCTTCATCAGGGTAAACAACAGAAAAGAGGTCCACAGGACATTCAAGTAGTATTTTGACTTGTTGCACATTGTTTTAATTCATTTATCATAGTTTCCCCATAACTCCTACACGTTTTGTACCAACAAAAAAAAAGCAAGCTCCTGTTTGGATATCGTGCTGCTGACTTTCTGTTCAACACCTCCTTATTTGCCTCCGCTTACATAAACATCGGCAACGGGACGTGTGACTGTATTGGCTCACTCAAGTGAACCAAACTAAACATGACTCAAACTGTCTGGGCTCCAATCGCACAGCTAAATGAAGAAAAGCTCGACTTGAGGTTGAGTCCGTCGTGACTAATCGCAGTGATTTTTTTCCCCGTCTGTGGCAGTCTTCTTGGCAGCAAACTGGCGTCCTTCACAGTATTTATAAACCCGGCACGCACACAGTCACACTTGTCGGTTCTCTGTTCCGTATAAAGACACTCGGGGTGATTATAATGCGCTTTTCTAACTTATTTTCCCTTTTCCCGTCTCCCGTTTGTCCCACGATCCTCCCGGTCTGACAGGAGGGCGTGTTGCTGGGCGCCGTGGGGGCGTACGACTGGAACGGCACGGTGGTGATGCACGTGGCCGGTCGCACCGTGGTTCCCAAGAACCTGCAGTTCTTCGACCCGGAGACGGAGTCCGGATACGAGGGGCTGGCCGGCTACCTTGGTGGGTTTGGGTTTGCTGTTCCATTACCCAACATCACCAGAATACACTCCTTCACCCACCAGCGCTGTGTGTGTGTGTGTGGGCGTGCGTGCGCGTGTGTGTGCGTGTGTGTGTGTGTGCGTGTGTGTGTGTGTGTGTGTGCGCGCGCATGTGTGTGTGTGTGTGTGTGTGTGTGTGTGTGTGTGTGTGTGTGTGTGTGTGTGTGTGTGTGTGTGTGTGTGTGTGTGTGTGTGCGTGTGTGTGTGTGTGTGTGTGCGTGCAAGTCTGTGTGTTCTTAATGTCTTAATGGGAGGATGACTAAGAGGGATTCCCAGACAGTGGGGTGAATTGATTATTGTAGCTCTCTCTCTCTCTCTCTTTCTTTTTCTCTCTCTCTTTCTGTCTTTTTTCCCTCTCTTTCTCTCTCTCTGATGTGTGTGTGTGTGTGTCTGTCTGTGCGTGTGTGCGCGTGTGTGTGCACGCTTAATAATAATAATAATAATAAATCAGATTTATATAGCGCTTACTATGGTACTCTAAGACGCTTAACATATTGCTTCTTGGTCCTTACACAACCCCGTCGATACGTTCGATCGCATCCGTGTGCGTTTCCTCCGTCCACCTGCGTGCGCACAAACTGTTTTCGGCGGTGACGTCGACACACTGGGCTAACGCAGGACACGATGTGTGTGTGTGCGCCGTCTGCAGGTTACGACGTCCAGTCGGCGTCCACGCCCGGCGGGACGATTTACATCACGGGAGCGCCCCGGTACAACCACACCGGCCGCGTGGTCCTCTACCGTCTGGACGAGGACTACAACATCGTGGTCACCCAGATACTGAAAGGAGAACAGGTGAACCGTCTTTGTTTTGTTTTTTTTTCCAACATGGACTGGTATGAACGTGACGGTTTTTGGCAAGTGGAACAGGAATGTGCGACTGGGATACGGTTAAGACATCTGAATGTCGGCGGTGTTTCAATAGATCCAAACGACGAACTGAATTACTGCGTTCGATGCAACGCACATCTGGACCGCATCGAAGCCACATGTCTTTATTTTGTTTAATTTGATCTCATATGGTAACACACACATCGGAAGTTTGATTTACGCTCCGATATCCATCTGTTATCGGTTATTTCTGTTATTTGGTGTTTGGTTCGACTTCATAAATGATTTATTTTTGGTCTTTTTGTATTCTCCGCAGATTGGCTCTTACTTTGGCAGTGTGCTGCAGACCGTGGACGTGGACATGGACTCCTACACAGACCTGCTGCTGGTGGGCTCCCCCATGTACATGGGCAAGGAGCGAGACGAACAGGGACAGGTCTACGTCTACAAGCTCAACCAGGTGTGTGTGTGTGTGTAAACCTAATGGTGATGTCTTTTATTGTCTTTTAATGATTGTCCTTTAAAGGCTTTTGAAATAGGATTCCTGCATATGTACTCTGAATGGTGTGGTTAAAAGGGGGCTATATAAATAAACCTTCCTTGTGTTTCAGTGTGTGCGTTGAGTGAGTGAGTGTGTGTGTTGTGTGCTTGTCTGTGTGTGTATGTGTATTATGTGTGCATTTGTAAGTAAGTAGTAAGTACATTTTATTTATAAAGTGCCTTTTCGAAACCAGAGTGTGTGTGTGTGTGTATGTGTGTGAGCGAGAGTGTGCCTTTGTGTGTGTGTGTGTGTGTGTGTGCTGGTTTATGTTTCCTAGCCTCCATATTAAACCTCTTCATTATTCCCTTCCCTCAGCAGCAGGGCCTGTTTGAACACCAGTTCACCCTCAAGCCGGTCAATCAGTCTTGCTGCAACAGCCACACTGACAGCTGCACCTATAAGAACGAGCCGTGCGGCGCCCGCTTCGGCACGGCCATCGCCGCCGTCTCCGACCTCAACCTCGACGGCTTCAACGACGTGGCCATCGGTGCACCGCTCGAGAACGACCACCGGGGGGCCGTCTACATCTACCACGGAACGGAGAGGTCCCTAAAAGAGGCATTTGTGCAGGTGAGGTGTTCAAAATAGATGTGTAGAGATATTCACTATTAGGGGGAATGATCATTTTTGTATCACAATTTTCATTTTCACTGAAAAAACTATTCAAATCATGATGTGACATTTTTTGGGGTCTGTAGCCTACCAAACAAACATTGTTTCTTACATCTGGAGAAAAAAATGTGCCAGGGCGTCTGTACAGCACTACAGTACTTCATTTATAACTGTGTTATACATTTACATTTTACACATTTTACCATATCAAAACATTGCAGCTCCTGCGATTTGGATATTGCACTTGGACATATTGCGCTTGTTCAGCCCTAGTAGAGATGTGCATATGGTTTATTGGAGGGTGTTGTGATGTGTTGTTGATGTGGTGTCTGTCTACAGAGGATCCCAGCAGGTGGAGACGGTGTGAAGATGAAGTTCTTCGGTCAGTCCATCCATGGGGTCATGGACCTGAACGGAGACGGCATCACTGACGTCACCATCGGAGGACTCGGAGGCGCTTCACTGTTTTGGTGGGCTAGTCATAGGAACTGTATTCACTCTCTCTCTCACTATCTTTCTCTCTCTCTTTCTACAATTAAAGTTTATCTATCTATCTATCTTCTTCTCTGTCTTGCCCTCTCTCGCCATCTCTCTCTCTCTCCGTCTCTCTCTCTCTCCCTTTCCTTCTCTCCTTCTCTCTCTTCCTCTCCCCATCTCTCTATTTCCTTGTCTCCCTCTCTTTCTATCGCTCTCCCTTTCTATCCCTGTCCTTCTCTCTCTTGGGGCCCGGACACACCAGGCCGACAGTCAGCCATCGGCCAATGTCGGGCCGTCGGTGAGCGTCTGTCGCCCTAGTTTTTGCGGTATTTCTGAAGAACAAACGCAACAGTTTCCTTTTGGATTCCAACTCTCTCCAAACGTGTGATAGCCTACTTTTAGATTTCAAACAAGGGAAACAACCTCAAAACCTAACGTCTCCAAATCATGGATGTATTACAGTAAAGACTGCTCCAAATGCACAATGAGACACACCCACTTATCATAATCCCCCCCCCCACTTCAATTAAAAATCCTCTAAATACATGGGATATTTTGGTCGTTCTCATAGAGAGTCTGAGCATATCCTAAGAATATGTCTTTTCCAGGGGCGCAATTCTTAGTAGAAATGCATATTCGCGTCGTAACCGATGGTTAGCGTGATTTTGTTTATCAGATTTCTTTCTCACGCTTTTGCGCATAATTTATTTGCTACGCGTCTCATCTCTCCTTCTTTCTTTCTCCCTCTCCCTTTCACTTTCTCTCGTCTCTCCTCTCTCTCTGGCTCCTCATCTCCCACTCTCTCTCTTTCTCTCTCTCTCTCTCTCTCTCTGGGAAAGATAGTTTCACACTGACATGTCAATAAAACAACACACGTTTTGCAAGTAGCAGTGGTTCTCGCATCCCCCAGATTTCTCACACAGCTATGCTTCCTTGTTCATCTGTCACTGTCTCCCTGACGTTTATACAGCTGTGTGTCTCTCGCAGGGTCCTCTGGGATTGAAACTGGCAACCTCTTAATGATCTCTCTGCCTAAAAACCCCTGGGCTGTAGACCTTTTAACAGTTGGACGCAAGCCCACTTCACTGCCCTCATTGGCCCGACTCAAAACCGCATTTCTGTCAACAGTGTAACAGAAGTTTTCAGGCTGCCCAGCTGCAGGCAAGGGTTCAGCAGAGCTGTGTGAAAAACTACATCACCCAGGAGGCTTAGGATTTAAATAGGATGTGGCTGCTAATAATATATATATATACATACATACATACATACATACATACATACATACATACGCCATTCGGTGGATGCTTTTATCCAAAGCGTCGTACAGTACCATGAGTTCATATATTTTTAGCACGGGTGGTCCCGGTGGGAATCGAACCCCTGACCCTGGCAACGATACTGCCATGCTCTACTAGTTGAACCGGTCAGGACCAGAGGCTGCTGAACTGTGAACCTACTTTCATGATTTAGATACATACTCTTTTTCATTCTTGTTATTACTGTCCTGCACTTTCTGCTGCGCTGACCTAATTTGCCGTCTGGGATTAATAAAGTACATCTTCATATCACATAATAGTTATTCTGATGAACATCATCGTTATAGATACATTTTATTATTAGGTTTAGCATTGGTATTAAAGGTTAATAATAATAACAACGGGACTACAGATTGAATTTAGCAATTGTGCAAATTCCGGCACATTTACATTGATGTCTAGATGTTGATTAATGATAATCATCATCATCTCAACAGGTCAAGAGATGTTGGGGAGCTCCGTGCAACCATGACCTTCGACCCCACCAAGATCAACCTCCAACAGGCCAACTGTGAATACCAGGGCCGCATAACGGTGTGTGTCAAGGTGGAGGTGTGTTTCACCTACAGCATCAAGTCCGACAAAGAGGCGGCCGCTTCCAACGATTTAACCCGTAAGCATGCCGCCATTTTTGTAGTTCAGCTAGCTAGACTGTTGTTGTAAATGTATTTTTAATGACATTAAGTCATTCCAAAGGAAAACATCCTCACATGTGGCTGATTATGCTGATGTGGTTTTCTGTTTGTTTTGTTGAAAAGAAATACGCTATGACCTCACCCTGGATGCTCTGCGAGCCAAAGCCAGAGCGTCGTTCGCCAGCGCGGAGGACAAGAGCGACCGCAGCATCTCCAAGAACGTCACCATCAGAGACAGGAAGTGTGTAACGGAGGACTTCAGGATGTCGGTAAGTACCTCTGTCCTCACCTGGCCCACATTCACAAGTGGATATTTAATGAGTATAAAAATTAAGAAGCCCCCCCCCCCCCCCCCCTAAATCAAATCCTGTATTTTAATTTGTTATTATTGTTATTCATTTTCTGTTTTACCCACCGCCCTCCTAAAATTGCAGTCCAAAATGTTCCTTCTCACTGATAGGCTAGGCCGGACTTTCGGGACCCTATCATGGTCTCCCTGAACTTTGGGTTAGTGAATGAGGACCAGGGTCCAGTCCTGGACGCGAGCCTGCCTACCTCCATCAACAAGACGGTAAGACAACGGTCTCAAGTTCTCTCTCTCTCTCTCTCCCTCTCTCTCTCTCTCCCTCCCTCTCTCTCTCTCTCATTCTCTATTGTCGATTCTGACTCTCAAGCAAACCGTAGTTCAACGATCCTCCCCAATCTGTACTGTTCTCCAAACCCATGAGTGCAAACATACATGTTCTTGGTCCAAGCCTCGGGACTATGCTGGGAATGTGGGGCTCTTCCAGCCTACTGAACACTTCCCATGCAGAGCTCAGAAGTCCACAGCAGCTGGTTGCCATCCTGTAGTGCTGCATCTATCATAAGTGGCTAAGTGCTACAGCATTGGCAGTTATAGCCTAGTTCCAGCCTAGTTCCCACATTTGAAAAACTCCCACACACATAGTTAGCCTTCACAAAGGACTGTTGCGAGATAATTGTTGTGAAGCGTTACAGTTATATGCAGTCCAAGATGACAAACATATGTATGGTTTAAATTGACTTTAATAGATTTCACAGGCCATGTCATTCAATATCTGCTTAAACGCATGATTGGAAATGCACACAAACAAAATGAGGGGGAAGGGGGTTTTTCTGATCCATCACAACCAAGGAATACAGGACACGCTGTTTGATTCTCAAAACGGCCAATGCAACTGCATCTGAAGTGATGAGCAAGCTTTTAGAAACTGAACTGCATTTGTGAGATGGACAAGAGACAGCGATACACACACAAGCAAAGTGAAAGAGAGAGTGAGTTTCAATTTTCAACCAACCAACAATTTAAAACTGTTAAAAAATAAGTAAAGACTGTTCGAATGATGTGTTTCAGATTCCTGTAGTGGACTGTGGAACGGATGAGAAGTGCATTGCAGACCTGTCTCTTAAAGCAGAGCCTAGTGTCAATCAGTGAGTGTTATCTCTGCACGGTTTTTCTCACATAATATTGCTTTTATGTAGGGCTAAGCAATAATTCAATATTATGGTTTATAGTATTTGAATGGTATTGTATCGTCATGAAATGAAGATATGAAGTCTAAATGAATTACGATGAGAAGAAACAGATTTGAAACATCAAAGAGAGAGGAAAAACTAGTTTTGTTTGATACCTTAAATTTCCATATACCATATACCGTACAGTCAGACTGTCCTATGGTATTTTTACTTCATAAGCAGATCGATAATTGATCAATAATTGTGTAAATTATCATGATATACATTTTGTATATATACTGTATATTCTGTGTGTATATTATAAAGGACTGCAAAATCTTCTTGATGATTTAACCATGCTGGACTTAAGCAACTCATGACTGCACCCTTGAAGTGGAATGTGTGAATCACATGTGAATTATAATGACATTATTATTGACGATATAACATCCTCCTTTTGCTTCAGAATGGTGATTAAAGCTAACAAGGAGAAGATTACCCTGTTTGTCAATGTTAAAAACAGCAAAGACAATGCATACAACACCAAGGTTATAGTGAGCTTCAGCAAGAACATCAACTATGTCAAAGTAGAGGTGAGGATTTCAGTTGTCTTGTCTGCATCATCTCAATGGCTGAAATGGTTTTAAAGGGTCTCCTATTTTACCACCAGGTGTCATGGCGATGAGCAATCACAAGACATTTTTAAATACATCCCTTTGTGACATCACAAATGGGAGTGTCCACTCATGTATGATGGACAGATCAACCTACCTCTACCAGCCGGTTGGACACGCCCACATTGTGATGTCACAAAGGGATTTTTAGATTTTGAAAGGGCTAGTAATCGCTCATCAACATAAAATAGGGGCCCTTTAAGCATTTTCTTTGTAATTTGGGGGTCATCTTGTCATGTTTCCCTATGTGTTTTGTCAGCCGGAAATCAAGGAGTGCAATCTGAACCAGACCCACTTAGAGTGTGCCGTGGGATACCCCTTCCTGGCCAGCAATGCAGAGGTCTTGTGGTCTCCTTGTATACTACATCCTTAATGACGCAGAACACATTCTGTTTATCTGGTTTCGTATTGTTATTCTGAATTAATTCCTGTGGTTTACTGAACATTGTGTTTCCACATTTCACAGGAGGATTTTAAACTTAAGTTTGAGGTCACCCCAGAGCATATTGCCCCAGAGATTCAAATAAATGTTACTGTTACAAGGTGAGAGCTTTGACATTTCTAATATCTGTTAAATTTTCTGTACATAATAGAGTAAGACAAAAAAAACATGTTCTGAAGGACAAACATGCAATTATTTATTTATTGTCGATTGATGAAGTAAAAACAACAACAAATGTATGTCCATATCTATAATACATAATATAAAAGTACATGTCAATTTCCCCCTCCACAGTGATAGTGAAGAATCACCTTCGACTTTGGGCGACAACATGGTGAAAATCATAATCCCTGTCAAGTATGAAGCTGGACTCATATTCTCAGTGTGAGTAACTGAAGAGATATATTTACCATCCTTTCTGCATCATAGGGCATAGACACTATCTGTCATATTGTTTCCGATAAATGTCTGCAGCCTAACCTGTAGACTACCGGTCTGTGGGGAGCAAACTACCGTCTCTCTTGGCTCCAGCAGAGTCGGTACAAGGAAGTAATTTTGACAAATGATTTTGGTGCCAAATGTTTTAGTGGAGCCAGGAGAGATGGTTACGGTGGTTTGATCACCCAGACCGCTATTGTCCTTCAATGATTTGTATCTGGATTCTATGTCACAGTCGCTTTGGGTAAAAGCATCTACTACATGACTCAATAATAATATTAGTCATTTGAATGTTGTTTAGTAAGCCGAAGGACGACCACATTATAGTGAAAGAGGGGGAGCAGTACCCGGCTGTCTTCAACCACACCAGTGCCATAGGAAAGGAGATCAAAATCACGTACACAGTAAGACCCCTCTAACACACACCCAATGTTCACATTGAGTGTGTTTTTTCCTTCCAAAATAGACAGCTTCAGTTTCAGTATATCTGTGACAGACATGAATAAAATATAATTATTCAAAACACTTCCTGTGTCCATTTCAAATAATAAAGCGCTCTGTGTCAAATTTGTATTGTAGTTAGTTATTTTTTATAAGCTCCTGTGACGGTGTACCCCTGCCACACGCCACCTTAGTGGCTTTTGCTGGGGCCCTTCGACACAGGGCAGAGGTAGATTTTTTTTTTTTTATTTGAAGATGCATTTATTGGAGATGGCATGATGGTATATATATATATATATATATATATATATATATATATATATATATATATATATATATATATATCCTGGGTGCCATGATTGCTCTGCACCACAGGTCTGCAGCCTCATCCAGTCCCAGAGTCTAATCAGTCTGACTCGGGCTGGGTGAGGCTGCTTAAACCAGCCATCAACAACACACTCCACAGAAACCTATGCCACTGATCTACCATATCTCTTGCTGTGTCCTGTCCCTCATCACATCTCGTATGTTATGTGCGTCTCTCCTCTGTCTTAACCAGGTGGAGAAGACGCTGAACATGGCCACCCCACCCCTGAAGCTGACCGTCACCTACCCTTACATGTCCCCTATGAAGAACATCCTCCTGTACCTCACCCATGTCACCGCCAGCCCCCACGTATGTAACATGTGTAAAGTAGCACGCACACACACACACGTGCACACGCTCACAACACATGACACACACTGACGCACGGATGACATGACTTTGCGGATACGCATGTCAAAAAAACAAAAAAAACTTTATTTGGTGTTGATCAGGGCTTTCTCTCTATCTGTCGGTCTCTATCTCTCTTTTTCTTGCAGGTCACATGTAATGCGGCCGATCAGATAGACCCAGAACGGATCGGCCGAGAGAAAATCTATACACCCAAAACTGCAAAAGAGTCATTGAGCATTTACCTTGTGGTGAGTCTTTGGTTCGTTATATGAATAGTAATAGTAATAGTATA